TGTTAAATACCATCTCAGCGGAAGGAGCAAAGGGTTGCATAGCAGTCACGGTTCGCTAGGAGTGTGGGGTCATCACCCTCAATCCCTAACCGCGACAGACGCGGACAAAGTAATGATTGTATAAAACCCATGGCTATCTTCAGAATCTTCATTCTGTTCACCTGACGACCTTCTGAATGGACGCCTTCCTTTCGATTTTCCTGAAAATTTTGTAAATATTTAACTATTAATCTTCAATATTTTTATCTGCGTGTAATTTCCATTTTCACCAAGATCCAATCAAATAACTATAATAGATTTTTGTATAACGGAACGGGGGACTAGTGTATGTTGCGAAAATAAATAAAGAANTAAATAATCTCAGAGGTTTTACGGTATATACATATATATTTCCTCTGACACTCATCTGTTGAGATTAGATCGCTATTCCAGTCATAAAATTCATTTTAACCTATATGTTTCGATCACCAACTGTCATTTTGGTCCAATCAAAGCTTCCCTGTTGTGTCAGAAATCTGATTTCCTTGAGTACCGTAATGTAAATGAGATTGCACATCCGTTGTTTTGCTCATTTGATACCCTCTACATTAAGCCTGAATAGTTTTTGTATTCAACATTTCATTTTTCCACGATTCTCCAGATATAGAAGTCGGCGGCATAGCTGTGCGGCTGAGGCTTCTACGTGGAACCCGAAAAAACAACTTTTCTCCGTCCATCTGGGGCTGGGAGAAAAGTGAGGTTTTGCAAGCGGTTGCAGGCGTAAAAAATCGCTTGCGAACGCCGAATTTTTCTCAGCCACGTAAGAGGACGGAATAATAAAATCGGCGAAATAGTGTGTGCAGAGAAAAAGCGTCCTATATAAGCGACCCATCGTGCATCGTTTTTATTCTATTCTTTTTTCATGACAGCCGTCTGATTTTGGTCGTCTCTTTCTATTGATTTTTTTCGAAATGTGATTTTTTGAAGAGGTAAGCAGTTGGTTTTTCGTAGGAGTTGTGAAAATAATTTGTATTATTTGATCCTCTACACGGAGGACAAAAAAATCCTTTTTTTTGTAGGTTATTCTGAGTAATACGGCTTTCTTCCCTACGATGTGTTCTAAAGTGAATAAATAATCAATTTTCAGTTTCAACTTAAATGCCGTCATTCGACATGGCAAGTCTACACTGGTCTCTCTACTCCAAAGATTCTACGCACCACCGTCGGGAAGAATTCTCCTTGATGAAACACCAATCGAGAATATCGACCACAAATTCTACAATGTCCATGAGTTCGTATCGAAAATGGAGAGAGGATACGACACAAAATGCGGTGAGAAAGGAGTTCAAATTCCTGGAGGACAACAAGAGAGAATCGCCATCGCTCGGGCTCTCATTAGGAATCCTCGACTTTAAATCCTGGATGAAGCAGCATCAGCGTTGGACGCAGAATCCGAATCGATGGTGCGGGAAGCTTTGAATAGATGTGCCAAAGGGAGAACTGTTATAGTGATTGCTCATTGTCTAACAACAGTTCGAAGTGCCGATCGAATCGTTGTCATCGAGAAGGGAAAAGTGACGGAAATGGGAAGTCATGGTGATTTAATGAAGATAATTTCTTTCAATTGTTTGCATTTATTTATTTTATGAATTGGAATTTTGGACGAATTTTTTGAAAAATAAAGTAGTTTGTTTGATTATTTTTTGAATAAAAACCCCACAGACATACAGATCCAGACAGACAAACAGAAAAGTTTTTGACATCACTTTTAGGAACGGAAATAATGGACCCCAAATTTCAGGTAAGCTTTTATAATAGCAAATACAGTATCGTTTTTCGATGAGTCACTATCTCCCCTTCTCTCTTTTTCTCAAAATTTTCCTTGCAAATCGAATCGTCATCTTTTTGCGCGTTATAAATGTCTTCTTTTTTTACTATTCATAATCGAATGATAGAGACGCAAAGCAAAACTCAAACCAGTCGCCCCAACGACAGAAGACCAAAGGACACCGTTCACACCTGTCTGGTAACAGAGAGATCAAATTCTATTTGGCTTCGTGGTTCAGTGTCTATCTAGATTACCGAAACTTTCCTGATTTTTTGAAATTCTGAAATCTCCAAAACCGGAATATTCCGAAATTCCAAAAATTTCAAAAACGGGATATTCCGAAATTCCGAAACTGCGGAAATCGGAATTTTCTGAAATAGGAAAACTAGAAGACTTCCGATGAACAGAATGGGAATCAGGTGATTTCTGAGAACCAGGACATTATTTCAGGAATCTCATAGAGGTGGTGTCGGGAATTTGGACAGAACTTTGAGGTTTTGGATTTTTATTTCAGCTTCAAGATTATTGATCGTAAGTTTCAAAAGAGCAATTTCGACTGCTTGACGATTTTCAACTGTCTTGAATAGTACGCGCTCATTTCTCGATCACTCAGGAACGCTATTTCAAAACAATTTTAGTAATTTACCCGCATTCTGAAAGCTTGAGCAGCGAGCTACACTTTTTTTTCTAGCCCAGGAAGATAAATAACTTCAAACAGATACAATGAAAGATACAATGTTCGTCCCTAAGTGATCGAGGAATGAGCGCTTACTATTCAAGATTGAGGAGGAGCACGTTGCAAAACCTCGCCGAGCATCAGTAAGTTGCTTATAATCCGATGAATGACCGAAACTTCGTTATAAAACTTGTCCGTCTCATTAAGTTACGAATATTCGAAAACTGTGCGAAATCAGACCAATGTACCCTTTCAGATTTTTTCGATGTACCCTTTGAGTATTTCGTCGATGTACCCTATGAGAGTTGCTTAAATGTACCGTATCAGACTCCTCCACAGATGTACCCTATCAGTCAATGTACCCTCTGAGTCAATGTACCCTATAAGAGTGATGTACCCTCAATGTACCCCTTTTTGATGTACCCCCGGAGTATGGGCCATTTCGCGTAATGGTACTCCTTATGGGGTGGGTGGCATAGATGGGAGCTTTGATTCCATTTGCGTTAGTTCTTCCTTCATTTCTGAGCCTGGATTCTCATTTTCCACGCCTTGTCCGCATTAATCGTATTTCCAGGTTATTTATTTTTTTGGCTAAAAACAACTGCTTATAAGAACGCACAGATAAATTAGCGTTTTCTCTAAGTGTATTTTCCAGCGTTGTAATATCCAGTAGAGTTCCTATTCTGATCGTCTCTCTATCCTCAATATGTTCTCCATTCGACATCGTAGGCTAAAAGCTCAACTAATTCATCTCTATAAATTTTTAAATGGCTCCGCCTACTTTCCTAACCTAAATGCACATGTCAAATACTCCTCCTCCCCTCGTCGCCCTATGAACTTAATTATGTTCAGCCCTACTCCTCTGACTATTTTTCTTCAATTGTTCCCCTGTGGAACGCCATCACTTCCCAAGTTACCCGATTTCTCCTACCTTCCGAGTTTGAATCCTTAATTTCTTCCAGTATTACCCGTTATTGATATATTTACTCCCTATTTTTCTCTTTCTACCGGTTACATCTTTCCTGCGTCAAATATCTAAATTATCCCGTTTCCCCTCCCCTACTCAGATCGGCCTCGTGAGGGGCATTTTTTCTGAGTCTTTCATGTCCTGCCCTCTAATGTTTTATCACACCTGATCAATAAACAAATTAAATTAAATAAAACTTACTTATTCACATTTTTCTCGAGGCAGAGGACTCCTTCGAAATATTTAACTTTTCGAAAATCGAACGATGCTTCCATCTTCTGTGGAGAAACGGCTGCTCCTTTTCTTTCTATCCTTTTCGCATTGGAATTATGTCTCCGGTAAACGGCAGATGGTTGGATGGATCCAAGTAGCGGGAGTCGAATAAATACATATTCAGAAAAATTAGAATAGCATAGGAATAGATAGATATGAAATGGAATTGATCTCCAGAAAAATCAGTGATAAGGATCCCAATCGGGGTTCCAAAAAGAGGCATCGAGGGATTTTCAGTAGGGGCAAGATGATCCAGAATAATCAAGTCTCAGAGACTTGACCCGTTTAGATCCACCTACACCACCAGTAGAAGGAACCGCGAATGCCAATGGATGGTGTTTCTTCTGTGGCCTTATATAAGGGCTGTTCAGATGGGCGTGACCAGGTGGGACAGGGGTGAAGGTGAAGGAGGTGATCTAATCTAAATACTAACAATGTGAATAAGAGATAAACAAAATAGTACTCTATTACTGCGTAAAGACACAATTCCTAGTATTTTAATTAGTGTATTGTAGTCTAAAGAATCAGCAAGATAGAACACAGGTAAAATGCGAACGGATCCGTTTCGGTGTCCACTAGGTTTTCTATCCGTAACGGGTCCGTTACGGGCAGTTTCGCGAATCTGAGTTCGCGAACGGATTCGTTTTTTCAACATTCGCAATCGGCCAGGATACGGAGTTCGCGAACGGACCGGATACGGATGCAGCTGGAGGTCGAGAGATGGCTCCCATGCCCATTCGCGAACGGATCCGTTTCGGATGGCCGAGTTGTGAGGGACTAGCTTTGTCTTAACTCTTCCATCATATTTTTGCATCTTTTTTTGTATTTTTAATCTATTTTTGCCGTTTTTTCCAACTTTTCTCGGCAATTGAGTCGATTTCTGTCTATCAAAATTTTCGAAAGGTGATTCTACGATGAAAAAAGGTTTGTAACACAAAAGTAATTCTTCGAAACTAGGGTTTGTTATAGGTATCACTTAACCTCTCCGTGAGCAAAAGGAACAAAAAATATTGATTTGATGCTCACTTTTGCAGAAAGCAAGTTGCTAGCTTAAGGTAAGTGCAAACCACATTAGTTTTCGAAATAGTGACTTTTCAAATTTTCAGCGATGGACATCTACCTAAACATCTACCGACCAAAACGTTGGAAATGGGACAATTTTCAAAACCCGGAAAACAACAAATATAACTAATAGGTAAACAGTATGCTGCATTTTCGGAAAATTTCCCAATTTTTTTTCAGATTGCTCTGGTTCCGGCTGGTCGTTCAACAAAAAAAAGGATTTTCATAGTTTCTCGAACTTTGTTGTACGTTTGATTGTTGTTTCTTATATGTTTTCTTAATAAAGTTTCGAATACTAAGTCTACAACTATCATGAAAACTCAGCAAAAATTAAGAGAAACTGAAAAAAGGAGCGGCGGGGGGTTCTCAAAGAATGAGTCGGAAACGGATCCGTTACGGATTCACGTACGGTCCGTATACGATTCCTATTTCATCCGCGCGCGAATGGCGGAGAATCCGTAACGGCTTGTTCGCGAATCACCTGTGGAATGTCTTTTCCTTGTTGCTTGTCATATTGTAATTTCGATGAGGATGCCCATAACATTAGAAACAAAACAAAAAAAAATACCGTTTGNGTGGCTTTAACTACATATTTTGGAAAGATAACTTTCCAGATATTGGATGGGGACATGAAACTAACACAGTGCCTTGTTTCATCAGAAAATTATTTTTTACCAAAATGTAGAGAATTTTTTCCTTATTTTCCAATTTTCGTTAATTATGAAGATTAGTTTTTTCTACTCAGATGAATATTTATAAATACGGCCCCAAAAACAAATCATATATCACGAATTGTACACTGCTCCACATAATGATACCGCCACCCCTCAAATTTCAAAAGAAAATCGGCGAAATAGTGTGTGCAGAGAAAAAGCGTCCTATATAAGCAACCCACCGTGCATCTTTTTCATTTATTCTTTTTTTATGACAACCGTCTGATTTTGGTTGTCTCTATTTATTGATTTTTTTTCGAGATGTGATTTTTTTAAAGTGGTAAGTAGTTGGTTTTTCTCTCGGGGTTTTTGATAATTATTTTTATTATTTAACCCTAAGCACGGATGGCGAAAATCCATTCGTTTTTAAGAAGGTTTTTTGAGTAAAACTACTTTATTCCCTAGGATGTGTTTTAAGGTGAATAAATTTTAAAATTTCAGTTGACAAATTGAATTCCGTCATTCGTGCGTAAAAAGAGCCGATGTACATAGCAAGTCTCTCTAATCCAACGGTTCTATGCACTTCGTCGGGACGGATTCTGCTTGAATAGCCCTCGAAAATATTTACCACAAATTTTACCACACCAAAGTGGCTATATTTTGTATGGATATGATGAAGGAACAGAGGATTATATGATGAGAGTGGCACGGATGGCAGATGGATACAATACAAAATGTGGAGAGCAAAGAGTTCAACTGTCTGGAGGTCAGAAGCAGCGCCAGAGAACTGGTTAGAAATCCACGAGTATTGATTTTGGATGAAGCCACATCGGCATTGGACGTGGAATCGGAGGCGTTGGTTCAAGAAGCTGAGGGATGTCGACAAGATTGCATGAGGGAGATGTAGCGGAAGTGGGAAATCACAAGGAGCTGATGAAGGACACCGATGGGATGTATTACAAGTTGATCAGAAGACAACAGGATTTTATGAATAGGAATTTTGAGCGAATTTTTCGAAAAATAAAGTATTTTGTTTATCAATTCCTTTAAATGAAGGTCCGACACAGTCACACAGAGACAGACGGATAGACAGAAAAGATTTCTTAGTAAGGAGTAGATTTGCTCAAATGGAAACTCCCCCTATACAAGAACTTCAAGCTCAATTATCTCGATTCCTATGAGACATATCAAAAATTAGTTAACAGATAAAGTATTCATCGTAGTATTACCAACATTTTATCAGTTGACAGATTTTTAAAATTTCTCAAAGGAACAAAGATAATTAAGTATAAAGTTCACGTAGGCTTCTATCAGAGCAAGTACAGTATCGTTCTTCAATGAGTCACCATCTCCACCATCTCTTTTCTCATAATTTCCCTTGCAAATTGAATCGTCATCTTTTAGCGCATTGCAACTGTCTTCTTCTTTTATTATTCATAAACGAGCGATCGAGGCGCGGAGGAAAATTGAAAAGATAGAGACGTGTCAGAAGACAGGGGAACAACGTTAACACCTGTCTGGTAACTCAATTAAACTCTATTTGATCGACTAATACAGTTTTCAGTGTCTAACTACTTTTACTGAAACTTGTTTGATCATTTAAAACTAAGCTCAACCGTCTGTATAATTCTGAGAAATGGTCAAGATCCAACATTTGAATATGAGAAAGATAATCAATTTACTAATTTTAAAACAAAACACGATCAAATAAAAATATCACGAAATCAATTATCCTGAATCTAGTTTGATGTCTCGGGGCTTCCTGATGTCTCTTTTCTGCTTTTCGTCATCCTCTCTCTTCTCGGAGTTGTCGAATATTCCTGGCCAATTCCTCTTCTTCTTCATAGGTTTTATCTTTTTGCAGCAGTAGGTAGTTCGTGGCCATCATCATCTTGACAAAATCATCGTCCCTCAATTTTTGCAGAAACACCAAATCCCATTCTGGAACACCAAATCCCACTCAGTAGTCCCAGATCTTCTCTTCTGATGACTCGAGGAAGAAGGAGTAGATTCTGAAAGCTTCTCGTGGCTCATTTTTTGAAGAAGTTCTGAAACTAGAAATAATTGGAAAAAAAAGTATTATACTGGTATAGCAACTAAAGTAACCTAGAATTACTTTTATTTCACTTTTTCTTTTTTTTCAGAATTTATTTTTTCGTTTTTCACTGATTTTTGTCGATTTCTCTAAATTTAATCTGAAAATTCCAAAATCGGAATATTCCGAAATTCCGAAACTTTGAACATCGAAATTTTCTGAAATAAGAAATCTAGAAGACTCCCCATGAACAGAATGGGAACCAGGCGATTTCTGAGAACTAGGAAATTATTTCAGGATTCTCATAGAGGTGGTGTTGGGAATTTGGACGGAATTTTGAGGTTGTGGAATTTTATTTCAGCTTCAAGATTATTGAGCGGAAGTTTGAAAATAGCAATTTCGACTTCTTGACGAATTTCAGTCAAAAGCCGCCTGGATTGTATGAAACTGAAATGATCTGCAAATAGAAGTATTCGACGAGAGAAATTTATAAGACGTTGGCTACATACTTTATTTATATTAATTATCATAACTTTAGTAGAGATTTAATAAAAATAGAGAAGTTAGAACATTTGAGAGTCTGGAAATTGCTCATAGAAGTTGAAAGAAATGAGAAGGGTTATATAGAGAATAGCAAAGCAATCGAATAAGAGGTTCGGAAATTATATGGATAAGCAAATGACCTTTTCCCATCACTTTCTCTTCTTTGAACGTTCGTGTCGTCCTTGAGCTCCACGGTCTGAAATGATACAATTGTTCCTTTTTGTCTATACATACAATATGGTCACTCACAAAACACTTTTGGCTGTTGTCGGCTAGCTGGTGGCTCGGTCTTATCCAGAAGCTCTGCTCTTCTTGGGCACTTTCTTCTGCCACTCTCATTGGTTCTGCTGAAAGTTGATGATTCTGAAAATCGGTATTTATGAATTAAAGAAATGCAAAAATTTAGAGTTACCTCCGTTCAACTGCTCTTGCCCATCTGACATTCCACAACGAGATTTTGGAAGAAAAGGAGCAGGAAGAGCTAAAAATTAAGATTTTTAGAAAACGAGAAATGCATTTATTTTCATACCTTGGCATCTGGGAAATTGTTGAGCAAGATTCTGGAACTTCTCCATAAAAACCTGGGCTTCTCGGACTTGGGCTTCTAGATCTTCTTTCCGGGCGTTCCATTCATTTTCTTTCCTCTGTTTCTCTTCTTTGGCAGTTTTTAGCTCCTCCTCCAACCGTTTCGCCTATTCATCCATTGAGCCAATCGCATTGAAAAGTTCCTCCTTTGCATTTCTTTTCGGCATCCATTTCCATTCTCAAACTGTCCCTTTCCTTCTTCAGAGACTTGACAAGATCGGCTTGTTCTCTTATATCATCCGAAAAATTATCTGCCATCTGATCGATTCCTTCTTTCTCCGCATCCCACTCGGCTTTCTGCTGAGAATGAGCCGCTTTCTCCAGGTTTCTAGATCTTCTTTCCTTCTCAGCATCAGATTCCGATTCTCCCGGTGCTATTTCGTGATGGTACTCCATATATTCGATCTGTCTGGTAACTAAGAGATCAAAGTTCATTTGGTCAACTAGAGAAGAGTGTAGTTCAATTCTTGATCTTGATCTTCTTGATCAACTTGGCACACATATGTAATTTGTAGAAAATACAAATTTCTGAGACTGGATACACACAATGAATTTGAATTCCTAAAAAGCCTATTTTCAGAGTGATTTTCATCAAATAATTTTAGTTGAAAACGTTAACCTTTTTTTCCGGAATTCTTCGAAATTGCATACGAAAAAATCGGAGAAAAATTGGATGTCCAATTTCCAAAAAAATTGAAAATCAGTATGAAAGTTGGGTATTATTCAGTATTTTTTCCAATGCCTTTTTTTTCTTTGAAAGATGAGAGATATGTTGACATTCTTCGATGAAGTTGCTTCCCAACTGATCCTCTCAGAAACTATTATGTTCCAATTGAATCCAGACAAATTCAAATTTTCCAATGATCATTAAACTTGAACTCCATATTGACTTGCTTTGGAAAATGAATTTTGAGAAAACTTGGAAACTGGAGATTCGAGCTTTCAAAAAAAATCAATATTCAATATTCAAAAGCCTCAATTTTCAAAAATTCCACGAATGTTGAATTCAGAAAACCGAGAAAATAGCCTATCAAAGTTTTTCAGAAATATTGCAATTTTGACATTTCAATGATGAAGTCGGAATTTTCAAAAAAAAAAATCTTTGAAAAAATTTCGAAAAAAATTTGAAAAACTCAGAAATTTAAAATTTGAAAATTCCCTGGAACTTTAAGAAAATCTAGAAACTCGGAAATTCAAAAATCAGGAACTTTATAACTTTACAAACTTAGATACTTTCGAATTCAAAGTTTCGAAAAATCAAAAACTTGTAATTTCAGAAATTCAAAAATTCAGTGATTTCAAAATTAAAAAACTATCAATTACGAATTTCTGAACTCTGGGATTTCTGAATTTTTAAATTTCTGGAATTTTTGAGTTTCTAGGATTTCTGAATTTCAGGAGTTTCTTTTTTTCAAAAAACTACCAATTATTCTAGGTCGTGATTACCCCAGTCAAACGAACTGATATGTTTCATGAGAAAATCGCCGTTCTACGAGCAAGAGATTACCAAACAAAACGAGAATCAACGAAAATGGCAAATCGTGTTAGGCAGTTTTCCAAGAGGGTCCATTCGGGATACTGTACTTTTATAATTTTTGTTTTTTTTTCTTCAGTTTTGCTATTTACTTCTAGTCTATTCTATTTTCTGAAATCTGTTTTTTAGTATATTTCTGTAGAAATGTTTATTTTAGATTCTTTTTTTTTCGCATTAAAAAAAATTTACAATTTCTTAAAATCATAAAAAAGTTATTTTTCCATTAATTATTGTCGGTCTGTCCTTGGCCTTGCCCATCAGCTTGTCCACCATCTTGCCAATCCACCGAATCATCCAGTGGTCCTTCATCTCTCCTCTCGTTTGGCCCAAGAATTGACACTCTGGTCCTTTTCCACATTCGAACCATTTGTACTCCCAATGCGTCTGTTAAATTTTTTAGTTTTAAAAATCCAATAAACTCAGAAATTTAGAAATTCAGATACCGTATGCATCTGCTCTAATAGGAGTCCATCCTGTACATGCACTTTGAGCTCAATTATCTCGGTTTCTAAAAAAATATCGAGATAGCGTCAACGGACAAAATATTACTGATAAAATGATAAATCATTTATTATTTGCAACATTTTGACATCTCTTAAAAGAACCGAGATAATTGAGCTCAAAGTGCACTTAAAGTGTGGACTTCTATCAGAGCGAATACAGCTCACAATAGAGCGCAATTGCTTACCGCAATCAAAGGAAAATTATAAAAGAAAAATTTTCAGCTAGTCTTTGTGATTTTCAAAAAAAGTCGATTTACTCAGAAAGAAATTATGAAACGTTTAAAATATTCAAAGTCAACAGTCAACGGGTAGCACGACAACCACTTCCGTTTTCTCGCGTCTTTGTGCCCTAGCTCACTTTGAAGACAGAAGGGGGGCCCATGGGTAAAAACTATGTCTAAGTTAACATTTTTCGACTTTTTCAAATTTTGGCGCTGTTTTTATGAAAATTTCGTAGTTTGCGTTCGTTTCCATAAATATTCATAAATTTCTCAAAAGTTTAGTGTTGGTCGTTTTTTCCATGAATAACATTGTTTTTGCTGTTGTAACTGTGTAATTTCAATTTAGTAAGCTAATATTAGATTAATTTAGGTTTAGGAACAAAAAAAAGCAAAAATGTACAAAAAATGACATATATTGAAAATTTAAAAAAATGTTCAAAGATATTCAAAGCACGAAATTTTAGTGTAAACAGCCCCAAAACTTGAAATAATGGGTAAACCTCAACTTAGGCATAATTTTTCCATTTGAGCACTTCTTTTCACTTGCCCCCCCCCTTGTCATAAAGAGCCACTTTTTTTTGCAAACGAAATAATCAAAATTTTAAGACAATTTTTTTATCAGTTGACAACTTTTTGATATCTTTTACAGGAATCGTGAAAAACTAGGTTAAAGTTGATAATACATTTGCTTTAATTGGATACGTTTACTTTAGATGCGTTTACTTTAAGCTCACTCATCTGGATTCCTGGAAAAGATATCAAAAATTTGTCAACTGATAAAATATTACTGATATTATGATGAACAGTTTATCAGTTGACACAAATTTCATATCTTTCATAGGAATCGAGATAATCAAGCTTAAAGTGCACGTATCCATGGAGCGCATTTACCTCATCAAAACTGTCCTCCATTGCATGTCCAACTGTGGTGATGCTCCAACGGACTGTTCTTCTAAAGAAACATTGTTTTGAAAAAATGAGAATTTCTGAAAACTAACGCTGGTCTTCTTCGACGACGAGGGGACAGCTGGATGATGATATGAAGCCTGAGGAGCTCCAGGAAGACCATAGGGGACACGAAAAATGCCCGGAGCTGGACGTTGAGCTCCAAGCAATGCTCCTGGAGCATTTTCGTGCTCCTGAAACAATTTTTTTCAAAAACATAATTGATGATAAAACTCACGAATGATTCAAAACTTTCCGTAGTGACCGGCATGGAAGTGGCTGGTAGAGGAGAAGGAGGAGCTCTAAAAATAGAAAAATGGAGCTCAATTTTTATGCAAATGAGATTACTGTAAATGCTCTGCCCTTTTAGCTCAATTATCTCGGTTTCTATAAGGGATATGAAAACTTTGTCAACTATTAAAAAATTTGTGGTTTTATGGCGAACAATTTATCAATTGGAAACGTTTTAAAATCTTTCGAAGGAACCGAGATAATTGAGCGCGAAGTTGACGTATAAGGTGGACTTCTAATAGATAAAAAATTACCTTTCGGCAGACTTACCTCAGTTTCTGTGAACGATATCAAGAAATTGTCGGCTCTAGTTGGTTATTTTGAATTTTAAAGAAAATTTTAGATTTTGAAAACAATTTTGGATTTAAAAAAAAATTAGATTTTGAAAAAAAATTTTGGATTTTAAAGATCTTGAAAAACAATAAAATCCAAAATAACCAACTAGAGCCAAATTGTCAACTGCTAGAATATTTCTGATATTATGATCAACATTTTATCAGTTGACCGATTTTTGATATCTTTTACGAGAAAATGAAAAAACGGCTTCAAAAGTTAGCCATAAAAAAATTACTTACGTTATTTCCAGACCCGGTTGGATTGGAGCTGGCTCATGGTCTGTAATGTCAAAATATGATTACTTGTAAGGAATATTTTGCCGAGAAATGAAGCCTTGAAAATTTGGAACAGTTCCCAACAAAAATCATTTTTCTAGCTATCCTAGTTGCTGTTATATGTACTATTTAAAGATTGCCTGCATTTCTCACTTTCCATTTTTTAAATCGAAAATATTCCAAATTTTCAAAATTGGCATATTCCTAAATTCCAACATTAAGAATTTTTCAACATTGGAATATTTCGACATTTCGGAATTTTGAAATTTTCAAAATCGGAGTTTTCGAAATTCCAATAAATTACCGAAAGGGTCATTCCGAACATCTTTGCTAGAGAGGTTTCGAGCAAGATTAAAGAAAAACTCACATTTTTGAAATAAATGAATATTACGAAATATTTTCATTTAAAAGGTTTATAGAATATAATAAGAAGAATATTGGAGATATAAATATTTAGATAAAATCAAAAGGGAACTCTCCAAAACCCATACATTTTCAGGATTATAGGAGAATTCCCAGGAAATTTTGACGTCTATTCAGTTAAGTCGTCTTTGGGGCATACTGAAGTAATAGGTGTGTACAGGCATAGGGGTTACTTGTTTGAATTTTCTCTGCGTCTCTATCAAGCTTTGTCTCTCATGCTGCGTCTCTTCAATTTCGAAGTGTGAAAATGGTATTGCGTGTCTTTACTTTGTCTGCAGATGTTCAGAGACCAAAGTTCACACCTGTCTGGTAACTAAGAGATCAAAGTTCATTTGGTCAACTAGAGAAGAGTGTAGTTCAATTCTTGATCTTGATCTTCTTGATCAACTTGGCACACATATGTAATTTGTAGAAAACACACATTTCTGAGCCTGGATACACAAAATGAATTTGAATCCCTAAAAAGCCTAACTTCAGGGTGATTTCCATTAAAAAAGCTGATGCAAAAACGTTAACCAACCTTTATCTCCCGAATTTTCCGAAATTGCATACGAAAAAATCGGAGAAAAATTGGATGTCCAATTTCCAAAAAAATTCAAAATAAGTATGAAAGTTGGGTATTATTCAGTATTCTTTCCAAGATCTTTTTCTTCTTCTTTAAACGATGAGAGATATGTTGAAATTCTCCGATGAAGTTGTTTCCCAACTGATCGTCTCAAAAACAATTATGTTCAAATTGAATTCAGAGAAATTCAAGTTTTCTAATTATCTTTAAACTTGATCTCCAAATCGACTTGTTTTGGAAAATAAATGTTGAGAAAACTTGGAAACTGGAGATTCGAAATTTCAAAAAAAAATCAATATTCAATATTCAAAAGCCTCAATTTTCAAAAATTCCACGAATGTTGAATCGCAATTTTGACATTTCAAATATTCTAATGAAGTCGGAATTTTACAAAAAAAAATTGTTTTGAAAAAATTTCCAAAAAAATTTGAAAAACTCAGAAATTTAAAATTTCGAAATTCCCTGAAACTTTAAGAAAATCTAGAAACTCAGAAATTCGAAAATCAGGGACTTTACGCTAATAGAATGCTTTCTGACCAACTTTTTGAAAGATCTATGGAAATACGATGTCTGGAATAATCCCCAATTTGAACGTGTTTTAGGGCAAAATTGCCGATTGTGTAAGACTTTTTTCAAGTATTGAACACAAAGATCGCCGTGTCACTATAGTATTTTCGGCTAGAGCATGTCTTGATTGAATTAATAGAATGCTCCCTGACCGACTTGTTGGAAGATCCATGGAACTACGATGTCTGGAATAATCCCCAATTGGAACGTGTTTTAGGTCAAAATTGCCGATTTTGTAGTAATTTTTTCAAATATTGAACACAAAGATCGCCGTGTCACTATAGTAATTTCGACTCGAACGTGTCATGATTGTGCTAATAAAATGCTTCCTGACCGCCATGTTTGAAGATCCATGGAAGTACGATGTCTGGAATAATCCCCAATTCTAAAATGTCCCAGTTCTAAAATGTCGTGGTTCTAAAACGTCGCGGTTCCAAATTTTGAAAAAAAACAGAGAATTTTCCTATAAATCACCGGTAGTTTTCAATAAATTTACCGGTAAAATACCGGTAATTTCACAGGGTTAATTTCGAAACCAACTTTGGTCAAAAAATGAAAATAAAATTATTGATTTGATCTAACTTGGAATGGATAACCCTTGCTATTTTAAACATTTTTTGTATTGAAAAAAAATTCTAACTCGTTTCCTTTCAGCTGAAAATTTTGAATTTTCATTCGACCTTGAAAAAAAATCACTTAAAATCTGTCTTAGTGAAAAATTTCGACATTAGTGTAAAAAAGATAATGTCAGATTCAAAACCAACTTTAAAAAAGACACTAGATATTGTTTGTTCAAGTTTGCATATCCTGGGCCGACTAGTTTTATGCCAAAAAGTGCAAAAATACAATGTTGGGGTGTCCATGGCAACGAAAATGCGCCCAAAATCGACCTCCTCTAATTTTGATCAAATTTTTTACCAGATGTAGTATTTTCGATGGGTAGTTTTCTGGCGAAGTTTCATAATTTGTTCTCTTTGTCTACGTGCATTTTTGCAGCCATTAGTTTTCCACTGAAAATAGATTTTGAAGCAATTTTTTCCGATTTTTTGGAGTTTCCGAAAATGCACAAACTTTATATGCACACATCCTCACACATTCAAGCTCCGGAGTTTTGAAAATGATCAAAACCAACAGAAAAACGTTTGTATATATTATTGCCCCTACTTTAAATCAACGAATTGGTGTTTCTAACTTACCAAATTTTTGAAAATCTGATTTTCAAAATTTTAAAACTTCTGAATTCTCGAAGTTGCAAAACGCTGGAGAAAATTTATTTTGAAACTTGAGAATTAAGGCTTAAAAAAAATTTCGGAAATTCAAAATTTCTAATTTCTAAATTTCTAAAAAGTCCTGGTTCGTCCATACGACTGTCCAATTACGTTATTCGGGAAGTGTGTTGAAAACTGCGAACGCCAAATCATGTCAATTGGAAAAATAGAATTGAGCGCTCTGGTCAGTTCACCGCCGTTAATTTTCATTCTGGCTCTCTGAGCTCATTAATCCCCCATATTTCTCAACTTTCAAATAAAATGCAAGCAAAAGAATAAGTTAGAGAGTATATAATTTATTATACGATGGTTATTTGAGCAATTTATGAGAGTGAGTGTTAAAGCAATACAAACCCAAAAGATGATAAAACTAAAGTAAATGGAGATTCTAGTATATTGAGCTAATAAAACGGATATTAGGAAAAAACATGAAATCAAGGGAGCATCATAGAAAACAAATTATTTAAATTTCTCTGCAGACATAGAATTCCTTGGAAATATTTATCTTCTGGGTGGCGATCTGAAAATCGAATGACGCTTCCATCTTCTGTAGAGAAACGGCTGATCCTTTTCTTTTTGTCCTGATTTTTGTCCTGATTTGAATTTAGCATCTTTCACAGGATAGTCATCTAACAGAAGCATTCCAAAATGTTGGTTATGATGAAAAAAGTGTTCTCCGGAATACAGCAGTTGGTAGGATGGATCCGAGTAGCAAGGGTCGAATAAATATATTCATTCGGGAATAATTAGAATAGCTTAGAAATGGAATGAATCTTCAGAAAAATAAAGAATATGGATCCCAATCAAGGTTCCAAAAAAAGTCATTGAGGCAATTTTAGTAGGGGCAAGATGACTAATCAAATCTCAGAGACTTGACTAGTTCAAATCAACCTGCACCAACACTAGAAAGAACATCGAATGACAGTGAATGGTGTTTCTTCTGTGGCCTTATATAGGGGCTGTCTAGGTGGGCGTGACCAGAAGAGTGTGACCAGGTGGGACAGGGGTGAAGGGGGGATAGGGATAAGGTGAAGGAGATGGTCTAATCTAAAGACTAATGATGTGGAGAAGAGATATGCTAAAGAATACTATAATTGCTATAGATAGGCTCATAAAATTGACATTCTTGCAATGCACAACGTAAAGACAAGTAATTTTTATAGCCTCTGACTGAGTCCCTTTTATTCTACAGGGTCATAAAAATGGAAATAGATTAACCTTGTTGACTATCCTAGTGTTATTTCTATAGGGATGTTTGTGAGAATAGAAACAAAAAAGAAACAAAAAAAACTGTTCCACCAAAACATAATCAAACTAAATCAGCTTTGATAAGAAAATGACTACTCACGAAAACGTAAAAGATTTGCTCACAATTTTCATATTTTTCAGTTGATTATTTGAGAGTGAATTCACTTTAGTTCAATACGGTCTCAAAAACAATATACATGAAAAAGTAATAGTCAAAATTTCGCACAGGATGGAATTCCGGAAATTACAATACTCCACAGACAAATGCCTTTTGTGTATTTTTTCTGGAATTATTCAACTCAATTCTGGACTAAGATTGCAGTTATGTAGAATTGAGAAGATAAATGCCCAAAAGATGATCCATTAATTTTGATTTGAGCAAACATCTCAACTGGTCTCCTATTTTTTTTTACGAATCTCTGTTCTCATTTAAGATTTTTCTTTCCACATTTCCCCTCTCATACCAAGTTATTTGGGCAATGTTAAGGAATCTGGAGCTTGGCAGTCAAGTTTCCGATCGGTGTAATACAAACCTAAATGGAAATTTCTAGTTTTCTACTTATCTGCCGATTTCTGAAATACACCCTTTTTTGTCTGTTTTTGCACTGGAACCATTAAAAAATATCTCCACAGACAGCAATTAGCTGAAAAGTTAGGAATTTTCAAAAAATTCTGTGAATGCACTAAGCCCTCCCAAATTTTTTAACTAATCGAGAACTTGACAGCCAAGCTCCAGATTCCTAACAAATGGCCAAAAACAACTTAAAAAGACATTGCTGTCTATTAACCGGTACTGTAGGTATAGTACTGTATCTATTCTAATCCTGTGTTTTCTCCACAAAATGTTTGTAAATACTAATTGGGTAGTGTCCACTCAAACAATCATCGGTCGGTCAGCTTCTCTACTGTGAGCAATATTCGGTAAACACAATTCTCTGCCGTTTCGAAATAACGATACTATTTCTTCTCGTGAGAGGTCATTCGTACCAGTCTCACCGCATGACTCTATGTTTTGTTTTTGCCCACTTCGTTTGAATCAATGCTTCGTTGCCATCTTTTTTTCACAGTGGGGTGTTAACAAGCCGTTTT